TCAGAAAGCAATTGACAAAAATAGATGTTTGGTGTATGGTGTACACTTTCACCAGCATCATGTCAAGAAGTTAAAACTAGAGTTTAAGACTAAAGTTGTACTCATCTACTTAGTGTGGAATAAAATAGAGAAAATAACTCAGAGATGTTTAGAATCCAGCACATAAGTTACAACAAAATAGATTATTAAAGGCTTCTGCATAGATGCAGATGCCTGGTTCAAGCATGGACCTTAAATGAACAAAATACAGGCCCAGATATCAAATATAGTATCACAGTGGTAATAGAAATTGAGAAAATGTCAAAAGGAAACCCAAAGAGAATGGACTTGCTTAGATTAAGTAATACGTATTTCAAAACAAGGTGAATTTCCTATGATCACAGAAATGCAAAGAAATGGAAAGTATGTCCAACTGAGAAATTCTGTGTCTCCACGATAAATTAAAGTATGTGGCAAAATGAGCTACTGAGTTAGGAAAAAAGTAATAATATTAGATCACAAGGTGGATGTAGTCATCCAGATGGCTTCTTGGATGTTTCCAGCATTCATCAAAATGGTCATTACTTTGTATTACTTGGGAATGCGCAGTACACACATTTTCTAATATCTGAGAGTCCAAAGTGTTACTAAAAAAAAGCAGAGAAAAGGATATTTTCTTTCCCCCATCTTTTTTCCTCTTTAAATGTTTTTAATCTTTATTATTTAGAAAGGCCCAACTTAAAAATAAATCTTAATTTTTACCCTAACAGTATTGTAACAGAAAAAGGGATGATTTTTTTTTGCCCAAAGGCTTAGAGGGCTTGAGTTGGAACATTGCTTCAGTTGTGATGGAGGCATCTTTTTCTGATGGGTGTTTGTCAGGGCTTTTTTATCAAATTTGTGTTAAAAATACAAAGCAACCATGATTTGCAAGCAGTGTGGCTTAATAGATTTCAGCTGCTTTGATTTTCTCTCTCTGCTTCATGTAATTAGCTTCCTACATCTTCTGCAGTCATCTACTGCGTCTTCCAGAGCAAAAGTGGAATTTATGATGTGAAAAAGGCCCATAACAAGTAACTTTTTTTTTAATCAAGAGATCTTTAAAAAGTTAAATGAAAATGAAAGCCCTCTATATCCTTCCTATACACACCAAACAGAAACAATGACAAGAAAACTTTCAGCATCTCATTTCAGAACATTTCAATGAGAAATTCAGTAGCATTTTTTTGCAAAAATCCCACTTTAAAATTAGCTTTATGACCCTCTCATGTTTTAAAGTGCTTATCAGGTCTATATGGAGAAAAGCAAATACAGTTTTCTAAGAGATGATTGATGATAGAATTACAAATGGAATAGTCATGACGATCAGCTGAAGCTGGAACGGAAGTTGGCTAAGAAAAGAAATTGTATTGGGGAAGAAATATACCATTGCAAAAGTGAAAAACCCAACATACTAACTGAAGGGAGAAAGAGGTTGACAAGAGGTTGAATAAAAACAATAGTAAGATATAATATACTGCGTTCAGTTTCTCTTTTCCAACTTCACTGTCCATACTTCTTTCTGATTTTTCTGGGGTTTTTTTCCTTCCGTCTGTCAGAGCAGAACTTGATCTTTCATGTTTGTGGATTAATGATTTGACAGACTTCAGGCCTGTCAAGTTGCATGTATTGAGCAGCACTCTGTGAAGTTGCTTTTGCTACTCCTAGCAATAAAAAGAAAGAAAAAATCAAACCACTAACCTTTATCCAAGTTTGAATAAGAGGCTCAATGCCAATTAGAATCCAGACATTTTCTTTTGAACCACAGTGTGTGGTGGTGTAATGCTTCGGCAGATATTACTGCATTTAAAAACATGTATTAGTTATTTTCTCCCAATAGATTTATTTCTTTTGTACTACCTGTGAAACTGTTTAGACCAGAAATTTTCAGTAATTAGTCAGTCTTTACAACTATAGTGCACACAAGATCACATATTACTCCTTTTCTTCCCTTGTCTAGGTAATTCCAAGTGGAGAAAACCAGTAATAAATAAATTTTATAGGCCTTTAGCTCTATTATTATGGAATAGGTGTGGATTTTGAGACAAATAATTGTTTGATGTTAATGTTCTTCAATCATTTGATTCCCGATCTGCCAGAATGATATTAATGTTTTCCACAGTCTAACACTTGATGGAAACCATCAGTGGTTTTAGCAGAATTAGGGACAAAGGTTGAGTGTCACTTGCCAGACTTTGGGCATGTCAAGCTGGATGTGTTGAGCACCAGACTCCATGAAGTTGGTCTGTCTCTTTGGCTAGTGGGGGTCTTTGCATTTCGTTTGCAGAGCGGTGCTGCTGCCTGTTTTGGACTGTGTGCCAGGATGTCTATCTAGACTTACAGGAGGGCCACAGCGTTATGCTTAGTAACAGCTGAGAGGACAGGGAATAAATCTAGGGTAAATGGAGATAAAACAGGCATGACACTGCTACCTGCACTCAAGGCTTCTGTACAGCTGCCTTCCGCTGTGGAGAGGCGCGACCTCTCCTGCTTCTCCAGTCTCTCCAATTCCTGGCACTTAGACTTCCATCACGGGACATGTGCATCCAGACTAGAACCTCCTTCGTGCCAGAAAATAGAAATGGAATTTAACAAGAAGACGGGACAGACTGCACAAAACAAGCTCAGGGCACAGCCAGACAACCCTACTGATCAGCAACGTGTTTACATGCTACCAGCCCCTTTCATCCCTTTATGTATTTTCTCACACTTGCTTCTCCCCAAATCACCTGGATCCCCCTGCTTTCCCTGCTGTTGGTTCTTCTTCTAAACGTCGCATAAATCTAGTGCAATCCCCAAACGCTCTTCTCCTGCTTCCCATAGTAGTTGCCATACCCCTGAGGCAGTAACCACCCCAGTCAGTTACAAAAATGAATCTGAAAGCCTCTCCCCCTGACTGATTTTGATAGGCTTTCCCCTTGCCTATGGGGCTGACGCTCTCCTGGGGCAGCCCTAGGAAGGGCCCAGAAAGGGTGTCCCTTCCTCTGAGTCTGCAATTTGTGTTCCCAGCTGCCATCATCCCCCTGCGCTCCTCTGGGCATATGGAGATGGACCTTTGGTGCGCTGATGGCTCCTGGGATGGGCCTGGGAGCAGCTCAGCAGGTGCTGTTTGGGGTCCCCCTCCTGCCATTGTCTCCCTGTGCTCCTCTGTGGGTGTTGACCTTGGTTAGTAGCATTCTCAATTTGAATTAAATAACTGAGCTCGTAAGGCCAAATGCATGCATGTCCTTGTGAAGAAGATCGGTCAAGAGGACCACAACCTTGAAAGCTGCTCTTTGTCACGCTCACCATAGCCGTGTCCTGCCTCCTTCTGAAGTCTGGCTGTGTCTGACGTCTATGCCCACCTTTGCAGCATACACTACAGTAATCACCTTTCAAGTTCCCTGCAATTCGGGAAAGAGCAACTTTACTCAGCCTGGTCAGAGACATACGGCGGATGCTGTTAAAGTACTTGGTTCTAATTAACGTGATGAGCAGAAACATACTTCACGTGTGAAAGTGAAAATATGCCTTGGTTTGGTTTTTTATTCAGGAGATGTGAAGGTGTGGTAGACACCAGTTCAGGTGGCATTTGCTTTCTCCTGGTTATCATCTCACTGTATTTAGCCTTTCTAAGGGACCAGATTGTTTTCTTTGCGTTTTATATTCTAGTTGATGGGTGCCTTGGGCTTCCCACCCGTAAGTGCCTCCATGCTTCCTGCAGGCCCTGTGGAGCACAGCATCTCTTCACTGCCAGAAGATTTCAACCCAGGAAGTGCAGTGATGAGCCAGTGTTAACATGCGAGAACGAGCAAGGGGGTTTGCATGTGTCTGTGAAGGAGAAATCTGCTATAAAGAGTAAACAGCTAAAAGTTAATGAAAACAGAACAATCACATTCAATGGCACGTATTCCAAATACACTAGATATTGACAACCTTTCCTCTGTGACATGGAAGTAAATAACTTTTAACAAAGCTTGACAATGGTACAAGTAATCACTAACTGGACAGAGTAGTTTTGGTTACTTGGCTGACTGTTTAAAGTGTGCTACTTTGCATTTAGTTTTCATTACAGTTTAATCTTACTTTTACAATTTCATTACAATTTAATCTTATTTTTATCTTTATTCAATTTTATAATTTCTATTTTATGTTAATGATATTTAATTTAATCAAATACTTCAAGCTGTATTAAAATGCATGTAAAATCAAATGGCACAGTCTCTGCTTTTGCATGGGTGACAATCCCAGAAAGCTGTGCAAAGTGCTTGGGGATCTGAGTGAACAAACAGCTGAATGTGAGACTCTCCTGTGAGGTTATGGCACAATGGGTTAATTTGAAGAGCAGCAGCAAGGAACTATTTTTAGTTTTACCTACATTGCTATGTATGCTTTTATGTCCATGTTTTAAAGAACTGAAGAATTTGAGACGTCTTTTAAAAGGAGAGACAGATATTTTAAGGGGACTGGAAAAGTGCTCTGCAGTAAGAAATCTAATGATCTCAGTCTGGTTAGTTTGTCAAGAAGAAAAGCAAGCGTATGAATAACTTCCCTGAAATGTAATGGTGGGTATTAAAAAGGTCTTTAATCTTGCTGAGAACAGCAAAGCAAGGACACCAGCAGCTCTAAGCTGATGTCAGACCAATTCAAATTATGAAGGAGAAATGCCTTTTTAAGTGATGATGGTTTAGTATGGGAATAGAGTATCAAGAGTTGGTTCTTTCTCAGTCACATGTCATGACTAGATTTTTTCTGAGGAGCAGTAGCCAAACATGCTTGAGAAAAACACAACTGACTGGTCTTTGTATGGAGATAGCTGAGTGAAATTTAATAGTTGATGATGTACAGGTAGCCTGATTAAGATCAGAAGGTTTGGTTTAAGGCTCTTGTGGCCTTAAACTCAGTGATTCTCCTCTATGCTGAGCTGAGCTGGCCTAAGACTTCTAGAACAGATTGTAGTGGTATTCAGAAGCCTGACTAGATGTGTTCCCACAGGAAACGAGGTGATTGCAGTAGACTGGAAAGGACTGAAAGATGTGGACCAAATCAATATGGACAGCACCAGTTCACTGCATGGCAGCAGCTTCCATCGACCTTCCACTGAGGTGAGTGCCTGTCCCAGACCCAGTTACCCAGTGGGATCAGAAAGTTTTCAGTTCTTTCTGAGCTCAGAAATGGGTGTTGTGCATTACTGAGACAGCCTGGGAGAGGACCAGAATACCAGTGTGCACTCAAGGATCAGACTTTCATATCTGTGCAGTTTGGCTTGCACTGAATAGAGTTGAGTCACTCCCTTCACAATATCCACAGGAAGAATTTGCAAATGAAAGTGCTTTTAACCACTCATGACTGGGGTGGAACAGAACATGGACAAAAACTGTGGCAGTTCTGACAGCCTGTGGGTCTGCAATCCTTGAATAATGAATTCATTGAAATGTCCAGCACAATGTCTGTCCCAGCTTCCTCAGTACAGCCCAAAAATCTTTTGAAGAAACACAGTTGTCTCCATTTTGATTTTAGGGATGCACTCACTAGTAACTCGCTGCCAATTGATTTACCACACCACATCTCAAGGGCTGATTCATTTGCTGTTGTGAATTGCTGCAGCTTCTTCAATCTTAGATACCTGAATTTTCAGCTCTCTAAGGCTCAGGGTATGAAGTCATGATTAATAAAAAGGTCAAAGCTATTTTAAACATAATATTTGAGGAATCACAGATGAAGTTCGCAAATAGCATGAACAAATAACATACAATTTGTAAAACTTTTCAAAATGCTAATGCATAGATATTTTTATTTCCTTATTACACCTCGGTGGCTTGGAATGTAACTGCAAGAAACTTGTTTCATGAAATCCTGGCAGAAACTGAGGGGCTCAACCTTGTATGGGGAATTCAGTTAAATCAAATGCAGATCTGGAAATCAATGAGCAGGAGCTATACCTCAGTGAACATTTAGATTTACGTGAACACATACCATAGGTGTAACTGATTCATTTAAATTTTCTTGAGTGTCCACATCCCCAAAAGCCAAGATGTTGAGACGTACATCCTCCCAGCTGAAGGAAATGCACTATGAATTGGTACTGTAATGGCTGATACGGGAAATGGATCTAGTTTGCATGGGGAAAGTGGGTCAGAATGGACAAACTGAAATACCACAAGAGAAAATAATCTCAGCAGAAAATAATTCTTTAACTTCCTGTACTATACTCCAAATACGCAGGTAGTTTAGCTCCTCCTTGTGTTAGCCTCAAAGTGATGCATCTTGATGTTTGCAGCTTGTTTGTTACATTAACATGATATCATTCTGTGCTTTCTTTAGCAAACACGGACGGATTTTTCCTGGGATGGTATCAATGTGAGTATATGCCACACCACTGTTCAAATTTCTAGTCATAGGAAGACCAGGATTTGTCTGCCATTGGGTACAGTGGAGACCAGAATGGAAACATGACTGAAAATCTTTAGTGCCACTGAAATTCTGGGAATTGCCTATAACTCAGAGAATGGTGATGAGTTTTTGTTTTCCTCTGGGTCTTTTGCTGTCTGGCAGGTATTTAGGTCTGCAGGTGACCATGAGATTGCCTTTGTCGTCTTTGGGACTAATGTGTGTCTTTTTGTATGTTTATTTTTGAGATTTCTGGGCACTGCTAGGTAAAAAAGGTGTCTGTCCAGCATGTTAAATAAAAACAGTACTCTTTGATTAGAGCATCATTTGATCTTCTCCAGGATCTGGGGGGAAAGGTATCCCTTATTTTCAGTTGCATACAAAAGCAAAAGAATTCTTAATGTCCCCTGAAGGAGATGCTCATTACCAGCTAACTTTGGTTAACAAGCAGAAGAAGAAACAAGCAAACATTTAAAAAATAACACACATGTTGCTCTTAACACCTGTGCCATGAAAAAAAATGGCTTTATTTTATTCATTTGCACTAATGCAAAACCACCATCCTAAAAACGGAATAATGCATATTAGTGCTACCGAAGTATTTTGCTCAGAAGAAAACATAAATTGGCTTGATAGTTTTGTACACTTGGAAAGGCAGGATTAGAAGGTCCATTTTTGGTAGTATAAATGGCTATCATTTTCAGGTTCTCTGTGGTTTGCAAGCACTTGTGACACTGAATATCAAGGGGACTTGTATTTTTAACTAGCCACGGCCTACTGACATCTCTTTCATCGTGGCACTTATGGCTTGGGATCTTTTGCTTAGAGAAACAATTCTGTGCAGGAAAATAATGGTGTATGCAGCAACTGCCTAGAAGAAACTTGTCAGTTTTTCCTCACTGCATCCCTGACTAGCTGAAAACAAGGTACATGAAGTCATGTTTCCTGACAGTTTCCTTACTTGCAGTCTCCAGTTTTCCAAACTATCCTGGATCCATGGAGCTCTTTCATAATGCAGCTCTTTCTCAGTGTAATTTCGTAGATCTTTCTTGGTATCAAAGCTGATTTATGAATATTCTTCCCGTTCGTTCCTGCCTTCATGTCATAGCTCTCCAACCTCAGCGTGGTAGATACCTCCTGCAGCTTACTTTCTTTTCTGGTCTGATTCCATGAGGTGGCTCACAGCACAGCCCCCAGGCTGTCTTGAAACAAAGGGGTGGATTCTGAACAGCCATGCCCAGGCAGGAATGACCAGTGAGGGCATAGATGGACGTTCTTCAACCAGCTTCATCACTAAAGGAAATGTATCATGGAACAAGGGCTGTATTCTCACTTTTTACTGTTCTTCTCATACTTTCTGAGCTCTTAAGCTCACATGTTACACACAGACATTCCTAGCTCCAAAGTTACAGGATGCCTTAGCTGCTGCATTAACACTCAGAGCAACTCTTCATATGCAATGCCTGGCATCTCTGAAGAAGCCTTGTGAGGGATTGTGTTTTATGATGATGCTTGTGACTGCTGCCTGTCCCAATAGTTTCCTATCGTTGTTATTCAGGTACTGAGGATGAACACAGAGAAGAGAGTATAGGGAATTAAGCAGAGCTGTAGACCTCATTTCTTTACAGGTGGTTGTAGGTGCTCAAAACAGGACACATCACTGCTACAGTCACATTCCTGTTATTAAGACCATATGAGAAGAAATAAAAACCAAAAGTAGCATAAAAATTAATATGTATAGTATGATGCATTACTGTGTCTTGCCTATCACAGTGTCAGCTCCCCATTTTAAGTTCCCTGAATCATCCATCAGCCATGTCTCACATCTTTAACAGAGTTGGGAACAGTGCAGCATGTCTATAGAGGACTGGCAGCAGCCAAAGGAAGCTTCTCACTGACTGCTTCTGCATCTCCCACTGACCTTGCCTCACTCAGTCCCAGTGCTATGCAATATCCAGTCCTGGTTAAATAGCCTCTAATTTTTCCTTCCCTTCTTTTGTTCTTTTTCTTATTGCTTGCTTCTGCTCCATGTCTTCCACCTACCTTCTGGAATCCTTGTACTTATTTCTCACTTTAATTTGCTTCCTCTTCTCCTTTCTGTATATAATTTTTCATATTCTCTCTCTTTTCAGCTCTCCATGGAAGATACAACCTCCATCCTCCCCAAACTGAAACGCAACTCCAATGCTTATGGGATTGGGGCTTTGGCTAAATCATCTTTCTCTGGTGAGGTCCTCAGAATTTGGGTTTATCCTCTTCACATATCTCACTGTTGCTCTCCCAGCTGCTCCTTTCTGAGTCTTGCTTTTTTGAGGCCTTAGAGGAATATCCACCACTATGGTTCTAAATACAGAAATCTCTTAGTTGTTGCCCTTTCAAAGAGCAGTTTTGTGTTATTCCTGTCGGCTTCGCACCATGCACCCCAGTTCAGCCGTCTTCAATTGCTTACCCTCAAACAGCCTTGGGTTTAACCCCATTTTTTGTTTCTCAGTTTGTTCACTTTCAAGCTTCATCCTTCATGCCTAAATCTGTCCTAAATGGATTCTAGGCAGGGAAGGAAATTGTCTTTCATATTTGGGGTTTCCCTTTTTCCTCCTTCTAAGAGCCAGTTCAAGGAAAGATGGAGAAACTCTCCTGGAGAGTGATACACTGGAGCTTCCAAGAGAGGTAAACAGTGTGGCAGATAACCCTGGAGCTGTGTAATAGCCCCTCCTTGTTTTCTAATGTCTGGCCCCTTAGGGATATCTCGCAGCATGAAGGACCATGTCACAAAGCCAACAGCTATGGGCCAAGGCCGTGTGGCTCACATGATTGAATGGCAAGGCTGGGGCAAAGGTAACAGCCAGCAGCAGCAGCACACGCATGAGACAGCACGCAAAGACGCTGATGCCTACTCAGATCTGAGCGATGGTGAAAAGGAGGCCCGGTTCCTTGCAGGTAGCACTAACTTTTTGGCATGTGGATTGGATTGGTTGGGATGTCCCAGCGCAGAAACCTTGAGAGACCAAAGTGTAGGAGCCTGAAAAACACACTCAGGAGAGCCTGTGGGTGGCTCAGATGGCTGAAGGAGAGAGAGACTGTGGCTGGAGTATTGCCAATGGAATGCAGAGGTGGAAAGGGTGAGGGCCAATTGTGGGTGATGGGTGTTGCTGAGGTAGGATGGGATATGCTGAGTGGGACAGTGTGACGAAGAAATGCAATTAAAAGAGTGTGATGAGAAGGAGAGGCTTTCACACATCCCTGCTTCCCCTCCCTGTCTCCTTTGGCACAGGAGTGATGGAACAATTTGCTATTTCTGAGGCAACTCTCATGGCCTGGTCCTCCATGGATGGTGAGGATGTGAGTGTAAACTCAAATCAGGAGAACCCAGCAGGCAACTACTCTGAGAACTACCAAGAACTAATGGAGAGCCAAGGTGAGCTCTGGTGCCCCTCGCTAGTCTTCAAACACCCCTTCCCTCCTCTTGTTGTCATGTTTCCCTATTTCCCTCTACTCTGTTTTATTCTGTAGCCTCAGTTTTTGTGATTGGGATATTACAGAGGCATCACCTATTTGTGGAGCTGTCCAAGGAGTCTAATATTAATGGAGAGGCTCCAAAGCCCAGTTCTTTTGCCTTTTTTGGGCACAACTGTGGAAAGCTGCCAGCTCTTGCAGTCAATTGTGGGTATAACCAGGTTCATCTGCCTGCTGCCTAGAACTGACTTTTCCCTTCACCTTCCTCCCCTCTAAAGGATTTATCTACCCTGTACAGTATAGTGTCATGCACAGGCACATAAGCTATGTGAATAAACCAGCTTGGCGTAGACAAAGTGTCTAAAACTGTGTTCTTTCCCTCCTTTACTTGCAGAGCATATGGCCCAGACGCAGTATGATAGTTGGCCTCACTCCTACGTCTCACAGGGCATGTATTGCTTAGGTTCATCCGATGCCTGGGAGACCAGTGACCAGTCCCTCATTGCTTCCCCAGCAACTGCCTCCTACTTAGGCCAGAATTTTGATGAATCTCAGACAAACCTTCAGGAAAGCATTTTGATTCAGAGCAGCCTTCTCCAGCAGCAACAGCTGCAGCAACAGCGGCAGGAGCAGAACTTCATCCAGAGCACAGGGCTGGTCCACATGTGGCCCCTGCAGACTGCTCAGTGTGGGGCAGAGTCCAGCACATACATGGAGGACCACATTGAGGATGAAGGGAACCCACAGCTGGAGAAGGCTCCTCTCCTAAACAAGAAGCCATCTCCAGAGGAGGATGATGCAGTGTGCCGGGACCTGGAATCACTGTCTCCTCGAGAGGAGATGGAACATGCTGCGCTGAGCCGCAAAGTCTCAGATGTCACCTCCTCTGGGGTTCAGTCCTTTGATGAGGAAGAGGGGGAAACAAACAACTGATGCTTTCCGTGAAGTTCTCATCACTGCTGAACAAAGAAAGGGGTGGCAAGGGATGAAATTACAGGGATTCTCCAGCTCCCCATACTTCTGAGCAGACACATATTCTGTTCCTGACATTTAATTATTTTTTTAAACAGAGGAAAATCTCAAAGTGATTGACACATGAAGACCTTTTCTTCCCCTCTACCATGGACACACGTTTTTGATTTTCATTGCTCTGGGCAACATATGTGAGGTGCTTGGAGAGATCTGGATTGGTAAATAATTTCTAAATCTTTTTAATACAAAGTCTTGGCTGTGGATACAAACTCTTCTGGTACTGGGGATGTTGCTGATGAAACAGACATGGTATAGAGAGCAGCTATGTGGCTAGAATCCATCTTGGCAGAATGGATGTTGCTCTTTGGACATGGTCCCCTTTGATAGAATATATGAGTATAAACTGGTTTAAAATGAAGATATGGCTTTACAAATAGAGATTGCACTAGTATTTTGATTGTGGCTGATACAGAGGATAAGGCTGTATTTGATACAGAGTGTACTGAGAAGAAAGATTCGCTGTGTAACCAGATCCTCAATAGCACCTTGATATGAAATTGTAGGCTCAGTGGATACAAACTGCGCCCCGTGGGCACGGGCTGTGCTGCAGTACAGATGTTGTAGCTCTGTGCGCATGGCTCTGCTGTGGCATGGAAGAATGGATGCAGATATGAATCTAACCCTGCTCTCAGATGTTCATGCTTTGGTCTCTTTCATTTGTTTGTTTGTTTCTTTGAAATTTCTACCTTCCCAGGAGCTGGCAGGAGTGATGTGTCCTTTTGGCATTGGGCATTTGATGCCAGTGGAAAGGGCATTTTCTGCTGTGGAGACAGTCATAAAAATCTAAGTCTTGCAGGGGCTTGAGAACGTGTCCATCTTGGTGCTGCTGCTGTATCCTTCGGTCTTTTCCCTTACCAGCAGTATGGGGAGTCCTAGAGAGTAGGCAGCAGATCCAGGAACAGTGAGTGTGTACAGCCATGAGGTCACAGATACCCAGTTTACATTGGAGTTTTCAGTTTTGGGGGTTTTTAAACCTTTTTATAATGCTGCGTGTGTGTTCCTAACAAAGCAGCTAATAGTGGGAATGACCTGTACTACAATCATCACTTAACTGAGATACTGCTCCTTTCCCATTTCTGCCTATCCTCTGCAGTGCCAAATATAGCTGGAGGAAAAAGGGGTGAGATGAAGCTTTCTCCTCCTATTTATTTCTTCTTCCTGCTATATTTTCTTCTTTTGTTTTCCTACCCCCAAGCAATATAAATAATGCTCAGTACTTGGTCTGTTTGTTTTTCCCTTCCATCTCTTTTTTTTAGGACTGGAGAGAGCTGATTTCAGCTGTTTTACCTATTTGTACAGGTTCTATTTTTGTTGTTGTTGTTGTTGAAAAAATAAGGTCTATTGAGCAGGGGGAATTTGGTCTCTTGCAATTCCTTGCCATGTTTCTACAGACCTCCTTTTGGGGGAGAGGGGTTTTGAAAGGAAATGGAAAGAACTGTCTCCTTTTGAGCTCTCACTGGAAAATAAACAGGGGCAAAAGCAAGCTAAAAAAATGTACGAGGCTATCGGTTGTGCAGGAGGAGTGAACAGAACCAGCAGAAATTAACCAAGTGCTGAGTTTTAATTGCAATACCTCTTGTAAGGCAGCATCAGCAAAACACGGGTTTAGATCAGAGCTAGATCTGATGAGCTGGGGAAAGGAATTTGCCTGGACACTGCCATACTGTCCCAGGGGCAACTCTTTCTCACACTGACTCATATCTACTCTGTTTAATTCATGATACAGTTGTTTCTTCTTTGCCTCCTCTTCAGGCTTTGCGTATTTTTTGGATGACAGGACACGTGCTTCTTTCCCGATTCAGGTTTAGTCCCAACATATTTGCAGGGAGAAGAATATAATGTGCCTGAAGTATTATCATCAAGTGTCAAGTTCAGACAGCTCCCAGCAAGCAAAGCATATTATATCCAGGAATTATGAAAAGTATGAATGGGACTCTCAGGTAGAACTTTACCGCACTCAGCTTTTTCCCACTTACACAGGCAGCTGCATGAAGAGGGTCTCTCTCCTCTATGAACACCCAGGTCTTTCCAGCCAAGTCCACTTCAAGTGGCTCTGTCTTCCCTCTCTGTTGCACCTCTAAAGGAAAGACATTTGGGATATTTAAATACAACTGGTAGTTTGCTGTAGGTAAGAGATAAAAGTTTTTGTGACCACTGTTTTTTACCCATTTGCTTGGGCATGCTTACACCTCTCTAAGGAGGTAGCTCTTCTCCTGAATGGTAACCTTTCAATAGCTCTTTAAAGATGTTTACACATTCAAGTGCTAACCTCCCCTGGGCAGGAAGGCTTGATGATAAAGATTATCTCCTACACTTATTGCAGGGTCAGTGCTAGCTCATTGTCCTGAACTGTTTTAGGTCTAGCCATGGAGCAGAACCTAGGAAATCACAGTAGCCAATCAGGGAGACGGGGCAAGTGCCAAGAGCACCTCAGCAGATGACAAATGAGTAAGTGTCAACTTTTTCTTATTTTTGTCTTTTTTTTTTTTCTTTAAGCCTTCAGGTAAACAAAAAAGGTTCAGCATGTTCCTTTGTGGGAGAAGATTTGGGTGGCTTGCGGCTTTTTCCCTCCAAACCATTTTGTTCTCATGTGCCTCTCCAAGGACCAATCTGGAAGTTCACAGTAACTTTCAGAGTAGCTTCTTATGATCCCTCTGTGTTGTTTACAGGATAAGTGGGTCCACTTGTCCATGGCTTCTTTTTCTTTTAATGTGGACATGTGGTACCTTTACAAAGATGTCTGATTGATGTCTAAAAGATGTACATTATCTCCATACAAAGCAGCGGCAGGGAATTAGCCACATGAGAAAAAGTGTGAAAGAAAAACATGACCTTATAGAAAATTCTATGGAGTTCAATAGGAAGACAAAACCTATTTGTAGAGTCTTCTAACCTCTGTGGAATGGGATAGAAAATTATACCCTGCTGTGTAATTCTGTAACTTGATCTCAAATCTGTAGATAGACTATCATTCAGACTGGTTTGAACACTGCTCTCTGTAAGTATCTTTCAAGCTTGCTAAATTCTATACATTTTTCTCATAAAGGTCGTGACTTTCTGTGAAAAATACAATTGCAGCCTTTTTCTGGAAAAAACAACCAACAAACCACAAACCCCCCCAAAAAACCCCAAACAAAAAACCCTCACAAAACCAAAGCAAAATCCCCCCAAAACCAAAAACCCTCACCCAAAAAGGCTGTTTACCATGACCTCGCTGCAGTCCAAAAGAGAAATGTATCCACATTTGCCAGGAGCTTGACTGGAGAGAGCAGGTCTGCCCATCCACACTTACTACCTGAGTGAGCATCCTGAGCTGAACTGGAAAGGCAGTTTGAATCAAGAGATGCAAATGGAAAATGGTTTGTATAACCTGGCCTTTTCTTATGTAACAGGGCTGCTGCCTGTATGTATCCAAGATCAGAGAGAGGGACCTGGAACCTGCTGTACACTTCCCAGAAAAGCCGTTGTTATTATATAGCTACACCTATTCAAGCATATGGAAGGCACAGGTGCTCTGTGAGCAAAATTTGGCCTGCAGTTCTATTATCCTGGTGAGGAGGAATGAGTTGGAGAGAGTACAGCCAAATACTCAGAGCCCAAATTACATTTGTGGGGCTGAAAATAAAAAGGAAAGGTAAGCTCAGTATCCCTGATCTACAGTTACTAAGAAAGCGAGCCCTGCTGTTCACGTACACAAACCCTGTGTAAAGCAGAGCTGCACAACATAAAAAGGTAAGGTTTTCTTGAAGCAGTGGAGGTAGAAGATTCCCATCTTTCCCCCCAAGCCTTTATCTTCAGCAG